CAGTTATTTTTAGCTTGATGTCCTCCTATTATCTTATGGAAAAAGCCCTTCTTTTGTGACAAAGCCTATTTTAAGGGCTTATTTTATTAACTTATGGAATTGTTCTTTTAAAAAAAAATCTTATCTACTTGACCCATCCTAATTCTTTATCTGCATGCAAAAAAAAAAAAACAACAAAAAACCCTTTGACACTTGAGCACCTCTGCCCACTTCCAGATACAGTGAGTGAAGACAAAACTTCTATAGATTTCAGAAAGAAATGTTTTCAAATATAAAGCCAATTTACAAGGTGGTACAAATTTCAATGTCAGGCAAAAATTCTTCGAAGATTATTCACCAACTTATTATCTCTGCCTTTGTCTCTTCCACAGTGGAGGGCTGACACAATGTGGACCTGCTCTCTATTTATGGCACCACTGTCTTCTAAATTTCGGCTCAAACTTTGAATAGTTTTTCCAATACAGTTTCAAACCCCACAAACAGATTTCTGATGTCATGGGTGGGCGTGTTTCTGCTTGATCCTGATTCTTAGGTTAATCAGCATGGTGTTCATTTTTTCTACCACAGCCAACAAACCTGCTGCTGACGTACTGCAGGCCTGAGCCCGCAGATGTCTTCGACACACTGCTTCCCATTTCTGTGACACCAAAATTATGCTTTTCATCTTTCATCTGCTTTGGACTCAAAATGTCCAGGAACACTTAAATGTCTTCTTTGACTCGGCAACTTTTTCTGTCCAGATAATTAGTGTGTGCATTGAACCACTCAAGGTGAAACAAGAGTCTCTGAAAATCATGCTGGTTTATCTAGGAAAGAAATAATCTGCTTGGAAAGCCTTAATTAAATATGGTGGCATTTGTATCAATACAAGAATTCTATCAATGCTAGCGTGTAACTCTTAGGTCCATCATAAGCAAAAATATTTCTGATACGATAAAACAGGGCAAGTCCCAAATGTGATCTCCTGTGAGTGCATTTGGGCCTACCCGTGTCCTTTCATGGAAAGGCTGGAGTCAAAGCATTACAGCAGGAGAACCAGCTAGTTACCAGTTCCCCAGGAACTGACTGGTCTCCAGGGCGATCTCTTCATACTCCTGGAGATTACCTGAGTCCAGGCAACTAGGCTACAGTGGCTTTTTAGGTCTGTTTTTAACTATTAGCATTTGTCCAAACAGCTGTCCAAGTCTCATAAAAGACTTGTGTTTGGACAGATAAGCAGTTTTGATTTAAAAGGAAAAGGCATTTTTCCTCTTCCCCTAAAAAGTACAAACTGTGAGGATAAAATGAGACTATATATGGGAAAATAGTTTGAGAGTAAAAGTTGAGTATCAACATTATTATAAGGATTACCTTATCAATAATACAAGCTTTACATATTTCCTGAAGATACTAATTTTTAAAACCCACAAGTCATAGTTTAGATTTGAAATTTTCATCCCTTTTCCTTCATCTTTCAAAAAGCCATTAAGTTAAACAATCTTCAAGTAAGAAATCCCAAAGATGGGCTAAAATTGAGAACTATAATGGATATGGCAAATGTCAAGTCAATAATGTCAAATGGGTCCTGATCTAGGAAAGTCCAAGAATAACAGACCTAGACTGATGTTGTCTGCCCCATTAAAAGTTTCAACCTACATTTAAAAGACTACCAAGCAGCTAGTCCATTTCCATGCTCATTATAGAAAAAAAATTGACATACGAGGCCTCCTGTGCAGGAGGGGTCAGAACCAGGGAGAAGACCCAGGTTTGATCCTTTCCCCGCTCAGTGAGCAAGCGCACGGCTTTCACACATCTACAGTTGCTCGTAATTGTTCCTCCAGCCCTGCAATGTCTCCCACCCTTCTCTGTACCTTCTCCTACTTTCCACATGAAAGATAACACAAGTGTCTTCTTGTATCACATCTTAGGGTTGACCACCAACTCCTACTCCTGCAAAAAAGTAAGCAAAAGGAGCAGGAGAAGTGTTGTTCTATGAAAATCTGTTCCTCTTCTCTGATCTCTTAAGTGCAGTCCTGATTTCTTTAAGACCTTGAGTTCTGGGGCATATTTGTCTCCACCGCTGTGTGATGAGGCCTGCGCTTTGAAGATCAGAGGCTCTGGAGCTGAAAAGAGCGACACTTCTCTGAGTTTGAACTAAAAGTCTGTCTTTGCATAACAATAAACAAAGTTGAGAAGCCCACTTGCAACAGGATCTGAGCTGGCTGATGACAATGCACAGCTGACAGGTGAGTCATGACCATCTTTGGGGGATTTAGTGTTGGTTGCTTTGGCTTCCTCATTTTGTGCATATTAGGTTTGGAGAATGCAAGGAATTTGCTAGCTGAGCAAGTTTATTCATTCTGTTTTCTAACCAGGCTCTTTTCCACTGAGGTAAAAAATTTCCTCAGCAGGCTTTGCTGCCAAAGCAGCACACAGTTCAATGGGACAGTTTAAACCTGAAACAAATACTCTGAAAAGGCACTGTGCACTATACAGTAATAGAATCTAGCTGACTTTGAAATAAAGGAATCTAAACCTACTACCAAAACGTGGGGCTAACCTAGAACTACGTCATCCTTCCATGTGCACACACTGAACGAGAGGAGGCCAGTGGGACAGAGTGGAGGCTTTGCTCTGCACCCACTACATAGAACAAGAGACATTTTCCCCATTGACTGATGGGGAAAAGCGGGAATCCCAGTAGTGAAATAACCTGGCCAAGGTCAAATACGAAATTGCAAAGCAAGAATTTAAAACCATCTCACAACTCAGCAAGGTTGATTGTGTCATGATGGCATTTTCCTTTTTATTCCAAGTTGACCGAGAATGTAACTAAATGTCACTAAAGTATAAACTACTATGCGTATTTACTAGATAAAAACCACTATGCATTGAGTCAGAATGACAGATTTAAGGAAAACATATAAATCAAGGTCCAGGTTAATGAATGGCTTATCAAAACCACACAATTAATGTCATTTTCCGATTTGTAACAAACCTTGAACACTGCATTTTAACATCCTTTGGAGGGTTAAATTTGTTAGTGACAACATGTAGAAACTCTTGACTTTAATTTCCTAGTGTGTATTTTTATCAGGAGAAAAGGTAGCATTAGATATATCCTATGGAAATAAAGTACAAACTGAGTTAATTAAGGTTCTTGGGTAAGAATGGCCAAAAGTACAGACTAAGTTAACTTGATTTCTTAGGTAAGAACGGCCAAGACCAAAGAGGGGAAGTAAAATGAAACCACTGCACCATCTAGTGATGAAACTGTTGCTTTGCAATAAAACCACCTGATGAAATTCTATTTTGCAAGTCAGTGTGAGCTTGAAGAATGTTCGTAAAATTGGCCAAAAGAAAAATGTCTGATGACAATGAACAACAGAAAATTAAGGGCATATGAACAGTAACAGTGGAATGGGATAAATTCTTCAGTTAAGTTTCCATGAGAAGCTGGAGGCGAACCTAAATTTTACTCCTCACAGATCTGCCATAGGTCCTGTTTACTATTCTGTATGTCCTAAAACTTTAGGTACCCTTTTAGAATTAACGGTTCAACCCTAAAACAGAGATGACATAAGAACCTATTCAGTAAGTCTAAGACTTATTCTCCACCATAAAGTTCAGTGCAGGACCTGAGCCTCTTTCTTCTAGATTGCTTTTCCCTCTGGCCCTGTTCTACAGAGATGGCAACAAATCAGGAATCCAGTGCTTCACATCAGTGCTCGGCAAATATAATACCCAGAGAGATTACCTCTTTAAAATATTACAAAAACATTAATTCAAGAGTCAAAGGTAATAGAATCATAATAGAAATTTTATTTTTAATCTGAAGATTTATATTTTGTTCAGGAACTTTTTCAGACTCGTGGTCAGGAAGAAAATGTTTAATAATTTTATAATTCTATGATTGAAAGTTACCTAGAAAAAAGGAAATACATTTCAATTTAGTAATTACATAAAATAAAATGTCAATATACAGGGTCTGGCAGAAGTAATTCCTGCTTGAGTGTGGTTGATAGGGTAATAATATGGGTGTAATAATTTATAGTTTTAATTCAAACATTTCACCTAAAATGCCACATGATATGCTTGAGTGTAATATTGTTATGTTACAGAACTACATGCTTATGATTTTGTAGTAAACGAGTTTGTAATTAAAAAGGGGTGTTATTTGTACCGGACCCTGTGGGGGGGGGGGGGGGGGAAACATTTACTTCCATTTTGTTTGCACAGGTTTCAAAGTTAAGCTGGTCTTTACCCCAGCAGGGCTGTGACACTTCGAGTGGCTTATTCTGTCGGCCCCAACCTTTTCTCAGACAGCATAGTTAAGCCTAGCTGGGTAGCAAGTACCATTCCTTGGAAATCCCTAACAAATATTAAAAACAAGCGTAAATTTGAAAATACAAGTCCAGAGGTGATCATTTTTCAAATCCCAATAATTTCTTTCCATCTTCAATAATGAGGTTTTATCCTGTCACAGGTAAGGTCTCCCAGAATGCTCTGTAGAAACCAACACAGCACAGTGGGGGTCGGAGGAACACAAGAAAGAGTAAGAAAACCCTAATTTAGAATTATTAGCTATGTGACCTTGAGAAGTTTTTCACCTTATGTGACCCTACAATTCCTCATCTGTAATGTAGGATAGAACTCTTAACTTGAAGCATTAATTATTGTAAGTATTAGGGAACACATGTGAAGTGTGTAACAATGAGCACTCAATAAATGGTAGTCATTTATTATTAAAAGCAATAGGCTGCTTTTTAAAACAATAACTCTTAGAAGCAGATGCTTATGTTGCCTAGGACTGGTCTGAGACCCAGTTTAACTATAACCAGACCAAGTTTGTCTTTCAGATTTCATAAATACCTTTCAGCACTGCCTCTAAAACCTGTATGTAAAACTGCCCCAGAGAAACTGATGAAAGGGTGAGAGAAAGCATTTGAGTTTACAAAGAATGAATTGAAAAGATATGTCATCGAGAATCAAATACCCCATAAAACTTTTAAATACAGGTTTATTTATATATAAGTGCATGAAATTGAATACAGAAACTTTATTAAAATACTGTATATTACAAATTTTAATCCAATAAATTCTGTGTTATGACATTGAAGTGCTGGATTCACTTTTAACAGTTGTTGTGTGTGTATCAGTAGAATCACCCTGTATGTTACAAAGAGGAACACCAACTATGGACCTCAGAAATGGTCCTGTGATTAGACAGTGGATGATATTAATTGTGCATCATTTTTTTAAGCAATGAACTGGAACCTAGAGCTTGTCTTTGCAGACCAACTTTCTATAATCAAAAATGACCTGCATAAGTTTATTGCTGCCCTTTGAAGAGATGAGTGGTAAAAATAATTTAAAACAAAGATCAACATCTCTAAGGCTAACCTGATGCTTACCACAGTTAAAATAATTAAAATTCACTGCAAAATTTGAGTTATCCAGGAAACTATGCTATATACACAATGAGATTTACACATGAATTGGGAAATTAAAAAATTGCTTATATAAAATTAAAAATCAATAGTGTACAATATTTACAGTTTGTTAAGTATTATACATAAACATAGTTTTTTAAAAAATAATCCTTCAAAATTAAACTATATTATGTAAACATGCAGTACATATTTTCATACAGTGTAGTTTATCATCTTAACAGAAGGGAAGCCGTGCTCACCTAACGTGGGCCGTGGCCAGACCCACCTCCATATCTGTGCGCCGCCCCGCCGACACTGACTCCTCCCGTCGCTAAGCTTCACAGTACATTAAGTAGTTGGATAGCAAAAATAAATCCCTGATGGTAAACATATTTCTAAAGGTTACATAAAGTATCTGTCCTTGTACTACAAAACAAAACTAATGCTGTTTTTACTAGCTTCTCTAGTTCACAATAAAATTAAATTTTAAAATCCCACTTTTAATTGTTTTGACTACATTTTTCTCCATTTCAAAGTTACTTAAAAAAAAAAGAGAAAAGGAGACAAATACAACATGAAAGTAGTTGTCATCTGTCATTGCCAATAGCAAAGTAATTGATCTTTATGAAACTATAAGGAGTTATTTCACTTGTACCCTTCCTTTAACTCTGCGTCCTCATTAACAGGCCAATCCTGAATCTTACTAGGTTCACTCTGGAAAAATATCTTAACTTCCAAGGTACTGAGACATCATTAAGCTTTTAAAAACGGGTTACTAAATGATTCATCAGTGGTCTGAGAGTTAACACAATTTGAAAGTCTTTTAATTTCTATCAGGTAAGGTATATTTTTGCTATTTAAATAAATACATTTTAGTTGGTTAACTTCAAAGTAAAATTGATTCCCTCATCCCAGAATGGCTGGAGTCAGGAATAAACACTTTATGGTAGAATCATATGAATTTTACCAAGTTGTGTGGCTACAGTGAAAAAACACTGTGGATTTCACATGTTCATCTAAATGTGCAGAGCTCATGTGTGTGCAGAGCACCAGAATTTTTAAAGATTCCTCCATCATAAATGTATCCAATATCACAAATAGTAAGAAAGTATCAATAATTAGACTATCAACTCATCCATTATTAAAAGTAAACCATTTTTATTACTATTCAAACAGGTGCTTCTATTTTGCTTTCTGTGGAAAAAATTTTAAAATGTTCCTTCCCAGAGACACTTAGTGATGATATGCAAATACATTAATTTAAAAACAAAGGAAACCTTTCTCATTTGTAATACCATCAAGTTAACATTCACTTACACAGCGCTCTAAAAATGTGATGCTCTTTAGAAATTGCCAATACATATAATATTTAGGAGAACAGGGTTACTGTTATGGTAGTTATGCATTACAGTTCCTCTCTCTGTATGTTTACACTACCCCACGTTCCAGTTTCAGTTATGTGTCTCAGTGCACCCCCCAAAGGGGGGCAGTTGTGTTTCCAGTGGGGGGGATACCTATGGATGGGTGCAGCATGGGGTCTAAAAAAATATGTAAGAGGTTCATGCTCTCTTGACTTGCCTATAGTCTCTTGACTCAAGTCTCTTGACTTGACTTTTCAGTAAGATTACAGTTGCATAACCATAAGGTGTTAAGCACATTCTCTTCAAAACCAGCACTTCTGACACTATCAACAAGCTGTACATATGTTTAAACCATAACATATGACACCTGTATGGAAAGGGGAGGGAGATTTTTAAGAAATTGCTAAAGTAGTCCTTAAAATCAAGAAAGGGTTATTATAAATTACTTCAATATATGTGCCATGAATGTAAAGAATGTGCAAATGAGTCTTCTAAATGCAGGGAAGAGGTGGTTACAGTTTACAGTTCAGTTCACTCAGAAATCTGGATGTGTCCACTAATTTAATAAAGTATTAACTGATACATTTCCACATTTACTGAAAATACTGTATATGTTAAGCACTACTTCCTCCAAGCAAATTCAGATACATTTTTAGATAACTGATTCGGCAACATGCTCAAAAACATTGTATTGCCTACAGTGAACAGAGATCCTTAACTTAGAAGGGCAAACCTACCACCACCACACACCAAAAAAAAGGAATAATGATTTCAAAATACTTTGTGGAAAGTTGGCTCACAGAGAAAGAAACAGCATTCTGGACTCACACAGTACACATACTCATACAATGTAGTTTATATTCTTAATGCAAGGGGGGAAACTGTCCACATAATGCAGGGGACTTCATCAGGTACGCCTTTGTTTCATGTGTTACCCCTCCAATGTGCATCCCTATCTTTAAGCTTCCCTCTGCTAGAAAATGCTACCACATGTTTGAAAATTTTTATCATTTTTAATCAAATAATGTCCTTTTTATCCTGGAGAGTTTCCCCCTCAGATGTTATAAAAAGGACCAACAGTTAGCAGAGGTATCAAACTCATTTTCACCGGGGGCCACATCAGCCTTGCAGTTGCCTTCAAAGGGCCAAATGTAATTTTAGGGCTGTATAAATGTAACTACTCCTTAACTAGGGGCAAGAAGCTCAGCACTGCTGCCAGGTAGAAACAAGGTGCTAGGCTGGATTTGGCCCTTGGGACTTGTGTTTGCCACCAGTGAGTTAAGAGAAATTATGAGATCATTGATTACTAGTCAATTTTAACCACTGAGATTCTCACCCTGACTATTAAAAGAAAGGGCAATTTAACCAGTTACTCAAGTGCTGCCTAACTTCTCTGCAATCTAGGCCTTACCAGAGTTCCATCAGCGACTTTCCACACTCTCTACTCCTTAAAAACAAGTAACAACTCCTTGAAGAGATTCCCATTAAAATTTTCTGAGAGGAAAAATTTGTGTAACTATTGTAATAGTTACTTGTTGAATTATTAAATGAACATAAATTAAAAATAACAGTATTTTTTAGGTTAAAAAAATACAAGGAAACAAACAACTAGTAGAGCTTAAGCACCTTGGCCCACAGAGTGAAGGACTCGGCAGACACTGAAGCCAGTTCTCTTTCCCTACAGCATGTACAATATGCTTCGAAGCCAGCACCCAGGGTGCGGAAGGCGGGCGGGCAGGCGACAGAGGAGACACTTCTGCATCCCTTAAACAAGGCAGTAAGCTGCAAGTAGTAGAGACTCAGTGAATGTTTGCTGAATGAATCCAAAGGAAGAAGCAGGGTAAGATAAAAGAGGAAACACTGGCTGCCTCTACCCTTTTCCTACTTTAACCCGTGGTAAACACCACCTGTCATTTAGTCCTGCTTGTTCTGGCCATTTCCACCACCAGCAACTCCTAAAAGTGCTCTTAGGTAAGTACCTGCTGGTTTGAAAAATAAAGAGGAGGTAACAGAAAGCAAGATTGTAAGAGAAATAATTTTAATTTTTTCCTTCTTAAAATATATATAGGGAAAATAAATGAAGTAGATGAATTTTTCAAAACATACTTAATTACTATTGCAAAATGTAATTTAAAAAATTCTACTGACTGTCAATCACTTACTGTCAAACCTTCACTGTTTTGCCATTCACAAACAAAAGTCAACAAGTAACAGGGCCTGGATTCAAATCTACATCTTTGGTTTAGATTCTAGTGTGCTCCTCCCACTGTCGCAGCAATGCTCTCTCCATTACCAAAACTCCATTTAGTGGGTAGACTGGAAATATCAGAATTTGGGGTGAGGGGGAGGACCTGAACTCTTAAATAGAATTAGGAAGCAAAAATGTTGTTCCAATCTTTTCAGGATTTGAAACCACCTTGCTGGCTCTTGGTGAACTCAGGGCTGGAATCCTTTCTTAGCCATCCTTGTATTTCCTATAGAAAACTCTCAGTATCGCACTTTGTACTTAGTAGATCTAAAGTATTTTCAAAATTGAATTTGTTGGTCTGTAAGTGTCAGCTTGGGCATATTAACATGTCAACTACACACTCTTCATCTTAATTCAAGTACTCTAGGAACTTTTCCAGTATGTTCTTTGACTTTAAATTACCTCTGTTTGTTACATCACAGATACATGATATACAAGGCAGCTCATTTCTTTATTTCTCACTTAAAGTACAAATAAAATCCTTACACTTTTTAGGGCAGTGGATATACTAAATGCCACAAATACTAAGACAGTACATTGGGTAACAAACTGTAACACTGTTTGGTAAACATTAAGCTCTAAAATAAGAATAATTAAGCTGTAAGCACTGAATACAGCCATCCTTTAGGACTTTGCTTATTCTAGACTATTGGCTAATGGAATCATCCCATGGGGGCAATTACTTGCACCTTCTCCATTTAGCATCATTTGTGGTTAGATAAGGCCCCCTGACTAAACTCTAGTCTACAGATATTTCTAACCAGTACATTAAAAAATAATTAGTTTGGGCATATAGGAGTCTCTTCTTTGGGGAACTGATTTCACTGTCACCAATATTTTACTAAACATTTTCTAAAAATAAAGAAGTGTAAACTACAGAGGATTTCCTCTGTCCTTCCTGCATTTATCACACAAGAAAAATCACAGGTTTTAAGAAGGTATAACACAAATACATCAATAAGGGCTTTTGTCATATCAAAAACAAGCATCTCTGGCACTATTAACGCCCTCCCAAAACTCCCCAAATTAAAAAATCTCAAACATCTTCATACCTATTTAGAAGATCATTCAACTGAACAAATTCTTCACTAGAACCTGAACATGTTCACCGAACAAAAGCTTTCCAATTCAACTGTATTCGCATAGCAGCTTTATATATATGTATATAACGATATATATGTGTGTGTAAATATATATCATTAAACACTCTTGTCTCTATAAGAAAACCACTAACTTAAAAAAATCTCAGCATAGAAATAACTATTAAGATAATGTCTTCAATTCACACTATTCAACTGTATTTCAAAACATCGAGAGTGCCAGTTACAAAAAATCCCAACAGAAATAGCTGAAAACAGCAAAGAAACCGAAAAATTCCCCCACAGGTTAAAAGTACACATACATACACAATTCATAATGTAAAGCAACTTCATAATGAGATTAAGACACTCTACAGATTAATTATTAGCCATCCAATTATATTTCCATTTTAGAGTAAAAACAGGAGTTTAAATCTCTTTGGTCCATGCATTCATACATTTATGTACCCAAGTTACTTTCTGGTTGATTGTGGATTCTGAACCATATGCTCCATATTACCTCACCATGACAACTTTCTTAAATTGTAACATAACCATATGTTTAAATATTCATTTGTATATCTCTAATATGTTATTGGTAATTCCCCTCAAAGAATGCAAACACTTTAAATTATTGACAGAATAGCCACAGTAAAGAAAGAACACTGAATTCAAGTCTAACAGAAAAGGAGAAATCAAATTGATTTGGAAAATGTATGCCTAAATTTAATTTGGAAAACATAAAAAATATAAAGAACACATGAAAGTAATTTCAGGGTTATACATAACTTAAAATCAATTTTAAGATCAAAGATCTCTAGGAATGCATAGCTGCTAATTTTTTTTAATCAAGTTTCTAAGTCACAGCATTAGAAAATCCCCCAAATTGGCTTCCCTACTGATGAAAGTGCCCACCCCCCGCCCCCACCAATTCTTCACTGTTAAGTTGTTGGTTTTTCTGGTTTGTTTTTTTTTTTTGTTTTTTGTTTGTTCATTTGTTTTGTTTGGTAAAGGGAAAGTGGTATGGGTAACAAAGGTCTTAAATTTGAATGGGACCCAATAGAAACCTACTTTTTACCATATCAGGTTATAGAACAGCAAGGCTAGAGTGTGCAGATTATTTTTTTGGATTGTCCTTAACTCATATTCTCTGCAATGGCTACTCCTTTGAGTTAGCACACTTTAATTATACTTGGTACTAAAAAAGTGTCAGTAGAAGTTAAACCAGGTTTTCTTTTCCTTACTTCATGTACTCTTAAAAATAAGGATAGGCTGCCAAAACCTCTTAAAATATTTTATACTAAGGGCTTTTTCATTTCTAATAAATGTCATCACATTCTAATAAACTTAAATAACAGCATAAATCAAGAACTGAACAACTGAAATGAAACATTCAAATATATTTCAGTACTGTTTTTATATACTGAGAATAACTGCCAAATTTTAAAATTATTTACTAAATTCTCCAATTCTTAGTGAAAGCGTGCTACCACATATCCAAAGTAAGATACTTTATTAATATCCCTATATAACTTACTGTTACTTATCTACAGATGAGGCTTTTTGTTTTCACAGCCTAATTTAGGCCACTCTTAAATACAGTTAATACTCCAAAATGAAAGACTGTTTACATTTTGTCAAAAATCAATACATATGCAACAAGTAATATAATCCCACTGTGATACTAATTATAAAGATGTTTTCTCCACGAGACACAAGGCAAACACTTTCTTTAGAAGGGTCAAAGAACATGCATTTCAGACTTCTAACAAAATTCATAAGAAATTTTTAAATTATATTTTTATGACACACAAACACAATCAGTGTGTGTTATTCATAAAGGTTTGAATTTATATCAACAGAACATTTATATATGAGGGAAACTATTAAAAGACTGTTATTTAAGTGACTGAAAAGGATGCACCCTATATTTCTACTTTGAGTCCTTAAATTTGAGTTCAGCTAGTTTTCCATTAAGTATTATTTTCCATATAAACTGAATAACAATAATGCCTAAACATATTAAAGCCCTAAATCCCAGAAACGTTCAACAATGAAAATCAAATAATTTATCTCATAGTAAATGATTCAGTATTCAGCACTCATACAGGACTTAGCATTACAAAATAAAAATCTCACTACATTACCTGAATTCATGTCAAACATGTTCACAGCACTCATCTACATCTACACTTGCAAATTGTCACATGATCAATGTATAAAAAAAGAGTTTGGCACATATATCAATTCTTCAAAATGTCCCTGTAACTTAAACACAACACTGTTAAAAATGATGATTCAACACCAATGTTAACCTGATTGGCAGCTAAACAAGGTGCTTTTTCTTGTAGCTTCTCATAGTGTAATTCGCCTTGCCTGGGATGGAGGCACGTAAGGTGCAGTGCGGTAGTGCAATCACTTGAACACCAGAGGGCAATCTTTCCACACAGCTCAAGGCCTTACTTTCTGACCTGCTCCTTCCAAGATTCTTGTGTGATTTCATTTCCACTGGCTAACAGTGCCATTTTCAGAGAATCTGTACATCTGTTTCTTTATGTGAAGTAAGTCATTTCTATGGAAACCTCAAAGTGTGGCGAGGATCCTTGAAAAGGAGATGATCAATGTCAGTACCGTCTGTCCAACGCCCCACACCAGCGCTTCCAAGGGGGCCATGTTCTTCCCTGCCACCCGGTAAATACCTGCTACTGCTGCACCTGCATGAGACACAGGCAAAGAAACAACAGTTACTCACTTCACAGCACACTGCAGGGTTTTAACTTAAGATCTCTTTTCATTTTATAAAAACAGTCACTGATCATTCTCATTTTATAAATTTTCTCTGACAGAGTTTCCATTTGGTGAAAGTTAACCATACTACACTTACATAATTGAGAAACATCTTTTTCTGCTTCTTGGCCTTTTGGCTAAGATCAAGTGAAAAACATGATTTTCTATTCAAGCACAAAATACATATTTATGCTACATGTTACTTGCTTGACACCAAATATGTTCATAAGAAATAACTCATTATTGTATATAACCTTTCCCCTGGGCATCGAATTAGACATAATTCATTAGCACTTTATAAATACATGTATATAACACAATATATTGATAATTGTAAATGATAATACAAAATCTACACAATATAATAATGTAACTTCTAAATTATTTGATAAAATTTTAGTATCACTTTATTTCTTTAAGTGAATTATTAAATGTCATATAAAATAACAATATTTGACAAATTCAATTCACAATCATCACACAGAGTTTTTTATTCAGCTCTTTAATAAAGCGTGTGGCTGTAAGGTTATTTGGAGACCACTATGCTGACATTTAATAAAAATGGAAGATTAACTTGACATGTTTTAGGAAAAAGTTTTTAGATAAGGTGTACTTCCAAAACTGAGGGGATCAGTTACAAGGCCCCACCTGACTCAAAACTTTACCTTATTAATATAGCATATGTAATGATGTGACATCTAAGTGGCTGATTTTAAAAGGGCATTTGGAAATCATAAAGGAAGAAACATCTAAGTTGTAGTATGCCATCTCACAGATTGAGAGGGCCTTAACACTTTTTTTCTAGAAAAAACTGTCTACATCTCCTAGAATGGTCAAATGTAGAAATAAGAACAGAGGTAAATTATTTGAAGACACTGGATTTACAGTTATTTGACAGAGAAATCTATTTATAACATTTAGCTAAGAAATTCTTTAGTTCATTTAAAATATCCCAAATTAAAATTATTGTATTTGTCTATTAGAGATATACAGGATCCAGCAGAGGTAAGGCTTGCTGAGTGTGGTTGGTAGGGTAATAATAAGAGTGTAATGATTTACAGTATTAATTTGAACATTTCACCTAAAATATCATATGGTGTATGATATTATGTTATAGAACTACCTTATGATATTATAATAAAATATTTTGTAAAAAAATGGAGCATTATTTGTGCCAGTTTATGTATATGGGAAAAGCAAATTATTAATCTAAAAGCATATTATTAATATGAAAGGGCTTTCATGTGTATTTTTAAGAAGGAAATTCAATGTATAGAGTATTTACTGCATACTATATATCTTGATAGGAACTTCACAAATATTACATTATTTAAGTTATCATACCACCCCTAAGTATTATTACCTAATTTGAAGATGATAAAAAGGAAGTTGAGAGAGGTTCGATTGCTAGCTGAAGGAATTATGTATAGCACATACAAAAGCTGGAATTCCAGTCCAGGTTAGTCTGGCCACAAATCCCCTAATTATTCTGTCATTGCATATTTATACTAAATGAAAAAGAATACAAGAAATTCTGAAAATAATAAAGTAGCTGATAATCATTTCAGTATTAAAGCTCCTAATGGCACCAATATTTTACTCAATGATATAAGACATTTCACTTGTATAATTGGTCACATCCTGCAATTTTAGAGTTGGATGCCATTCATAAAAAATTTTAAAGATCCCATAACTTCTCTGTTATCAGATATTATGCTAAAATAAACCCAAGAAAATATTCTGTTTTTATAGGGATTTATCCTAAATTTCCATGACTGTCTTCAATTTTTAAAACTACAATTTCGTCTCTATATTTCCAGCCCTAAGTTTTCAAAAATGATCCTAGAAGTAAAAAATCTAAGCAATTATTATCCCAGGCTGCCTGGGAAATAGCAAACCAATCTGTCACTTCAAAGTTGCAGGCTTATGTTTGGTTAAGAGCAAGGGTTCTGGAGCTAGACTCACAGATTAACATCCAAGTTCCACTACCCAGCAGCTGTGTTATATGAGGCAGCCATTTAACCAGTCTCTTTGTGCATCACTTCCTCAACTGTGAAATAGGTGGATGTGAAGATTAGAGATAGTTCTCAGAGAGTATGTAGAATAATGTCTGGTCCTAGCATGTACTCCAGTTTTGATTAGCAGTCATTGTGGTAGTAAATGATAAAGACTTTTCCTATCAGTGATTCACCATTCAATAAGCAGTGTTAGAACAACTGGGAAGAAGTAAATTTAGGTCCCTACTTCATACCATTCCCAAGAATAAGTTTCAGATAGATTAAAGAAATAAATGTTAAAAACAAAACTACAAATGTAAATTTTATAAGAAACTATGTTTATGATCCTAAGAGGTCAGTTTAAGACCACACATAAAAAAATAGCATAAACCATAACCAGATTTAGATTAAGAGAGAGACTAAAACAATACTTGCTATATATGTAACAAACTGATGATCGGTATCCAGAACACACACACACTACACATGCACACACATATAACAACTGATGCAGCATTTTCTGTAATAGCAGAAGAAACAAAAAAGCAAAAATCCCAATATCCATCAAAAAATATACAGATGTACATGAACTGACAAAAAAATCATTATACAATAGATAAAACATAAAACATATATTCTCTACTAGTACATGCATACACATGTAATGCATGTAAATACACATATATGTATGTGTGTATGAATACAATGTAGAAACAAAAGTCTGAGGACATATAACCAAACTGGAAATAGGGTTACGTCTGAGAAGAGCACTGGTTCAGGAGTGCTAGTCAAAAGAGACCCCTGCCTTACCCATGGTTTAAATTTAATATAAAGAAAAGAGTTATGTACAATATATAGATAAATCCTTCATCTACAGCTTCAGTTTCTGTGATTTCAGTTACCTGCAGCCATCTGTGGTGTGAAAATATTAAGTTGAAAACTCCAGAAACAAACAATTCATAGGTGTTCTACTGCATGCCCTTCTGATGAGATCTTACACCATCCCACCTTGGACGGGAATCAGGCGCGAGTCCGAGTAGCATTCTAGATGGTCAGACCCACGGCTGTGGTATCATGATGCCTGTATCTGAGTAACCCTTATATTATTTAATAATGGCCCCAAAACACAAGGGTAGTGATGCTGCAATTTGAAAACACCGAAGAGAAGATATAATGTGCTTTCTTTAAGTAAAAAGGTTTGTATGTACAGAAAAAAACATAGTATATTTTAGGTTTGGTACTATCCTCAGTTTTAGGCATCCACTGAGGGTCTTGGAACATATGATCCATGAATAAAAGGGGTGAACCAATGCATTACTTATGTAATTAAAATTTTAAAACTTTAACTTAATTTCCACACCAACTTGCCTAAACTTACCTACAATTGTAAGAAACTGTCATTTTAAAAGGCCAGAATATCTTTCAATCCTATTTTCCAAACAAAAATACTTGTATACAGTAACAAAGTTCACTAAACTCTTGATTTAAAATAGTGGGGAATAAGTATACTGTAATCAGCAAATGTTTGTGGAAAAAGAAAAATTGTGTTAAAAGTCGAATGTTTTTTATGTGATTAAAAGACGTGTTTATATTTATTATTTTTATTCCTTTGAAGTTTCAGGATTGGGACTTAAATACTTTTGCCTTAAGACGGAGGGCCCACGAAATCAGTTGTGGGACATCTTCCACGCAGGCGTGGAATTTAACTGGAGGTCAGGAGCCATGGAAAAGCACCCTGTGCAATGTGAGATGGGAATAAGAGAAGGGCCTCAAGGAGCAGAAGAGTGAGTACAGAAAACATTTCTTCCTCGCTGTCATCTTCTTTTCCAAATAAGCTGATTCCTTTATTTAGTATTAACTATTCTGGTGAGGAGAAAATGGATTTCACTTTGGAAAGCTCTGCTTTTTGAGGAAAAACAAACACACACAACTACTAAACATCCCGCTTTTCTTTCAAGGAACAGAGGACAAAAATATAGAGCCTATAAGGATGAGAGAACAAGAATCTAAAACAAGAGGAAAAACCACTGTAAAACTGCAGAATTTTCACAATCAAGGAAAACATTTAATAGTGTTACGCAGAAGATAAAACCAATTTCCATTTACCTCCCAGTGGATAATCAGTTAGAAACCAAATTTTGACTTACAACATCCCTCCAGAAGAAGAAGGTTTAAGAAAGTTCCCATTGCATCCTAACATTTCACAACTGAGAAGCACTAGTCAGAAAACACTGTTCCAGTGCAATTCTTAATCTAAAAACAGTAATAATTTGTGTGCCTATTAAGTGATTTTGAAAACAATGCTATTAAATATTGAGCAGATATGAAAGAGTATTTATAAAAATCTACATAGATTATTATTTTTAAAAACCTCCCAAGTATCCAACATCCAATTGAAGAAAAGAACATTACTATTTCCTTTGAAGATCCACAATCGTATCCCATTCCCTCTCTGAACTTGTTTTTTATCATTCCTTTGCTTTTCTTCCGTTTTACCACCTGTTTATATTAATAAAATATATTTAGTTTTTTAAATAAATAAAGTTTTATATACATTGATGCTCTATCCTAGAATGTTGGGCTCCATATTAATGTCTGAGGTATCCATGTTTTTGTATGTAGCTATAATTTATGCATTTTCATTGTTGAATAGAACTCCAACTATGGATATACTACAACTTATTTATCCAGTCTACCACCAATGACACTTGTTTCCAGTCCTCAACAATGACAAGCACTGCTTCTGTAAACATCCTTGTACATGACACCTGGCACACATATGCAGTCAAGAGTTTCTCTGCATCACGTGGGTAGAGGCAGACTGCCTAGTTCTATGTTAGAGGCATTTTCAACTTTACTAGAAAACGCCAAATTGTTTCTCAAAGTAGTTGTACCAATTTATATTCCAGTTACTAATCTATATCCTTATC